TTGCCTCTAGGTGTTTAAAAATTCATGGTGTTTTTGTTAGGGATCCTATTATGATGACTACCCTGTCCTGCTGCTTTATGCAGTACAACAAAAGTAAAATAAGTTCCTCCCTTAGTTACTCAAAGGCAGGGTAGGTGATATGGTTCAAATTTCTTTTGTTATGCTGGTTGAAAATCTCTTCACATCCCACTTGCAATCACTAAGTTAAGTGGTCTAAATGTATTTATATGTATTTATATAATCTGTGGAAGGCATAGGACCATAAAATGTTCGTCCAATCATATTCCATATTCCTGACAGTGTTGCATTCAATCCTCCACCAACGCCGTCTCTCTCTCATCGTGTCGCTGGTTAGCCTTTAATCTGCCTGTGCGCGTTCATGTGTTTTGGAGGAGTCGTGGCTTTAGAGAGTGATTTGCAGGGAGGGTGGGATCTTATGCTTTCAAAGCTAGCTTGCTATTGCTAGCCTCTCCAAAATCACCTACTCTACCATTAATAGCTGAACTGCTACTAAGTATATTTTTGTCCTATACCTGCCATACATTGCCCTTGAAAATATCCATATTCTTATTCTTCAATATTCTTCTTCTTTCTCTTTTTTAACCTCAATAAATCAATTATAAAATACCAGGTCAGGTCTCTATACAGGCTACATATTTTTTTTTTCGTATCATATTGTATTGCATTTATTTATGTCTTACATATATATGTACTAACTAAACTTGGGGGTCAGTAAGATTTTATAAATAAATTATTACTTTTATTCAGCAAGTATGCATTTAATTAAAACTGACAGTAAAAACTTTTACATGCTGTTCTATTGAACTTTCTATTCATCATTCATCAAAAACTGTTTTCAACATTGATAATAATAAGAAATATTTCTTGAGCAACAAATCAGCATATTTGGATCATGTGACACTGCAGACTGGAGTAAAATATTCTGAAAATTCAACCTTGCCATCAGAATAAATTACATTTTAAAATATATGAAAACAGAAAATAGTAATTGTATAAAAGATTTCACAACATTACTGTTTTACTGTAGTTTTGTATGTGTGTGTGCTTTATTTTGCATTCATACTGTCTCCTTACTGGCCTCATTACCGTCTACTCAACAATGCAAGAAGGTAAGAACTTTTGAAGAGACCGATGAAAATTCACTTTGTATCCAGGAACATTTTGCAACGTTGACAAATATCTTTGTCCTAGTTTGGGAGGGATTTCACAGACATGTTTGAGAGAGTTGTTAGTCTGTCAACTTCTGAACATCCACCATTTCACTGTCCTCTCGGCCCACCGGAGGTTCTGCGAATAAGGATTGCTCAGTTTCAGCAGTTTTATCAGACATGCAGTCCCCTCATTGTTGTCCAGAGATTACAGCTGTGGAGGAGGTTTGACTGACAGGGTCTGGCCTAAGGTGCACCCAGGAGAATCAAGAGGAGGATTTACAGTGGCTGCTCCAGCTTGTATTTTCCTCTCCATTCTCTCCTTTCAGGGCTATCATACAGTCAAGAAATAGTCTGCATAATTTAATGGAGTCTCCCATTTTCTTACACTATTTGTGCTCTTGGAGTGATGGTGCCACCAATAGTTCTATTTTAATGGTTAACAAGAGGATTTGAGAGTCTATCACATCATCATTTCAAGTGTAACACGCATTCATGTATTTTTTTTCTTTACCTAAATTGGGTTGTGGACAGGGCTTTGGAAAAACTGAATGAAAACAAAGTGGTCCTTGGTTCAAAAACATTTGTGAGACAGTGATTGAGTGTTAAGTTCACCTGGTTGTCCACTACAAGACAAGGATGTAAAATGAACAACTGTGGTCACAGACACATTTTTCAAGAGTTAGGACACAATTAGTTCAGAGCTCAAGAGGACGGACAATCAAAATTTAGCTGTGGGCTGAATCATATACTTGGGCCCTGACATTTTGACCCCAAAACATTTGGAATACATTAAGACAAAAAAAAACAAACAAAAAAAAACAATCCCATTCCATCTTTAGTTTCAGTGACTACAATGTAAGCCATCACAATTTCTAGCATGTTTCGCTAAAAGTTTTGCTATTTGTGAATGAAAGTGATATACATTTTTTTATATTGAAAGATAAAATGTTTCATCAGCTGTCTGGTTGTGTAAAATATGGTAGCTTATTTCCACAACATAAGAAAAAAATCATGCTGCGTTAAATCTTAATTGTGACATAAGTAGTCATAATTGTAAGATTAAAAAGTCAGTGTCAAAATTAAGATGTACTAAATCATAACTATGAGGTAAAAAGAAAAAACTGACATGCTAAGTCATAATTGTGAGTTTGTGACATAAAAGGTCAAAATTATGACAAACTAAGTTAAATAAAAAGTCAAGTCAGTCTCATAAAAATTACTAATCTTGACTGTTTATCTTTGGATTATGACTTAGCATCTCACAATTTTGACTATTGAAGTCAAAATTTATTTAAAAAAATAATATTTTCAAAACTTGGTCAAAATTGTGTCAATTATCTCATATTCATTGTCATAATTTGACAATTGACATGATTGTCATAATGACTTTTTCCTCATTTCATTTTTTTCTCTCATAATTATGTCTTCATCTCTTATGGCCGTTTATCTCACAATTATGACTTCGTATCAGTCTTGCCTTTTATGTCAGTTAATACTTTTTATGTTAGGATTTATCAAAGCATGATTTTTTCCTCATGTGGCAGAAATGGGATTACATACTAATAAGTAAAACTGATCAAATACTGTATATTAATTCAAAAGATTAGTACCTGACATACAAATTAAATCCGCCTAGAAGGATTAAAAATCCTTATCTAGTAATCACGAATGAATGACGAAAAGGTCATGAAAAAAATTATGAAAATTGGTCAGAAGGTTTACCTTGACTTTAAGTGCTTTGAGAGGATTAACATGGCAAAAAAAAATACATTTTAAAACCAAAATCAATGTTGGGCCCATGTTCTATTGAGGTTTCTGTAGGTTTTCCACACAGCATAATTAAACAATACATGTATATTTTTATTGTAAAATTGTATTCAAGACACCAGACAGGACACCCGAGCACCGCAATCACATTTAAAAACTGCATTATTAATTGCAAAAGGCTTATCCTATGAAACGTGTCCTTTCCGCCTGCAGCTAAACTAATATGGAACAACCTATTCATCTTGGCACCAGAGACAAAGGTAGGTTTCAAATCCACAGCAAGCTCGATATTTAATTTCACGTGGCGAATGTAATTACGGCGAAGAAATGATACCGTGCCCCGGATTAAATCAGGGAGTTATTGAGAGTGCCTGTAATTTTAATTCTGTTAGGATGACATTACAGAAGACCATCTGAGAAACTATTATAGCATGGCATGAGAGAATACTGCCACTTTGTGGCACATAAGAGACATGCATGCAAACGTATCAGAGTGAATCTCATGAAAATGACTGCTTCAATTCAATATACATATAAATGCATACACCATTCAAAAGTTAGATTTCTTTTATGAAACAATTTTTTTCTGCATTAAATTGATCAAAAGTGACAGTAAATACTTTTACGTTACAAAAGATTTCTATTACAAATAAATGCTGTCTATTCATTTCTAAACTTTCGATTGAAGAATCCAGAAAAACAAATGTATCCGTTTCCACAAAAATATTTATCAGCACAATTGTTTTCAACATTGATAATATTCAGAAATGTTTCTTGAGCAGCAAATCAGGATATTATTATGATTTCTGAAGGATCATGTGACACTGAAGACTGGAGTAATGATGCTGAAAACTCAGCTTTGCATCACAGGAATAAATTACATTTTACAATATATTAAAATAAAAACACTTATTTTATATTGTAATAATATTTTACATTATTACTGTATTTTGATCAATTAAATTCAGCTTTGGTAAGCACAAAAACATTTAAAAACATGGATGTAAAATATAACAAAATGTGATTTTGGGGATACAATGTTCTTATGAGGTTTCATGAGATTCACCTTTGGAAAGAGTAAGTTCAGCAATTAACTTGGTATAATTTTGCATTCATTCTTAACCAACAAACAGACACAGAGTCTCTCCTGTGGGTTTTATGTACTTCTTTTAATTACACATTAAATAAGACTGGTGAGATTAATGGGGAAAAACAGGATTGGGTTGCATTTATAAAACGTACCGATCTGAGAACAGCTTTCCTCATCCCAACAATCACATTCACCAAAACATGAAAGATGCGAAAGACGACCTCAGATCGCCACTTTCTCCTAGACGTTAACACATGACCCTTAATTACAATTAAGTGTCACTCAATTCATTAAACCAAAAAAAAAATAAAAAAAAGCACAATTTACAAAATATTCATCTTTCTTATCACAACCGTACAAAGGCTGTTAAAACAAGGTCCATGTATATACGTGAACCATTTTATCAACATTTGCAGTTGGCACACAAACAGACAGAACATTTCAGAACAGAAACTATTCAAAAAATATCGAATGACTTAGCTACTCGCGTTACAGACGGCTAGCAAAATGACTTTAAAGGGAACAGAAAATCACCCAAAACACTTAACTTTGCATATGAGCAGACATCCTGATTTATTTCCCGTTTAGATTTCTCTGTATTAGTCAAACAGCAATATAGAAACAATTACCAGAAAAGCAAACTAGTCACGGTTAAGGACGCATGGTAAAACAGCTCACCGAAGGTTTTAAAGCAACATTCTGCTCATATATTGTAAATCTCCTATAAATGACATCATCTCATGACATCACAAGTATTGCCACACAAAATAAATCTTTATATCACTCTCTTTGGTTTGAGTGATGGCTGAAAATTTGCCCTTCAGAACTAAGCTAGCCACATTTTGCCTTAGTATACTAGATCACGACTGCGTCTTGGGAAATTATGCGTCCAGCTTCTGTTCGACTATAATTGGGCTTCTAGAACCAGAATGTCTTGATGGTTGATGGCAGAAAAAACAAACAAGGCATTTGTTTTGTTCCTTTTTTACATATATTTGCATCACAACAACTAGTGGTACAGTAGGTTATATTCACTAATCAAAATTGAGCAAAAAACAAAATCAGCCTTCAAAGGTGCTGTTTGGCTGGTAAATATTCATACGTAATAAAAATGCTCCTCTGAGTGCAGAAGTGAGGCTTTTCGCTAATGTAGATACTTACAGAGGAGAGATTCGAAATACTCTCTGGAATACTTGACTCCGATTGGTCAACTGCAGCTTTATTTTTTTTTTGTTAAAATCTGCTAAGGGTTGTAATTGAACAAAGTGATTTTGCACTATTATTTACAACAGGATCTGTATTTTCATAGGTTTAAATCAAAGACTTTTATGATTTATAAGAGAATAAAAAGAACTTCGAAAAACAAACAAACAAAAAGAAAAACATTGATTTTCAAGTCAACGAACTTGCGGCAGCTGAATGTATCATTTTGTCTGTCCAAAATGAATGTGCACAATACAACTTGATTTTTACAAGCCTGCCAAGCATTTTACATTTAATTTTGTTGCCTAATGAAGATATATTTTGACATGGTGTTACCTCTTAGCAGATTTTGACTTGTATAAACCCTCATGAATTTAACTGAAAATATCAGAAAAATGAACAATGGCTATGTTGAAATCGAATCTATTCTGCAGGACAGTGGCTATTATACAGCATTCAACGCATTACCGTTCCCTGGAAGTTTAATGAACAGGACACAGCATGCATACAGGGAAATAAGGTTAACGTGGTTAAGATTTCACCATACATGGCTTTCGAGAGAGGGCGCGTTAATCCGACTACAATGGAAGTTCACATGCAGGTTGTTTTGGGAAGTCTGGGACATCCAAAGGCAGGGTCATACACAGTGATAAATGTATCAAAACACCACCTGAAAGTGTTGGTCCTAAAAAAAATGATTCCTCAAAGTTTCAGTTCCTGTAAAATCGAGTGACTCGCATGCAAATTTCACGGCTAAACAGCTATCTCTCTCATACATCACACCAAAAGCCTGTTTTCATGTCCTCACCTTTCCTTATAAATCTACTAAAACTACTCTAGATAAACCAACTGCAAAATAACACAAGCTCTGACAGCCCACCCGGTAAAATAAGCCAGAAATGTGTCAAGGGACCAACACTTTGGGGCAACTGGCACCGAACGAGAAGTAAAGCTTATTTCTTTTATGAAAGCAAGTAGAATAAGGATCCATTCTGTATTTTGAACAGGCTAATAATTTAGTGTAATGTACAAAATGCAGTTGTGGAACTTTTTTTTTTTTTTGAGTCTATAATGACAGGAAAGGCTTGTTCACATTAATACACATTTTGTTTTGGATTTCTTCTTTTTCTTCTTGCCCTCCTTGCTCATCTTCTCCTTGTGCTTCCGGATTTCTCGGACTAAAGTATAAAACGCGTCGTCCACGCCCTTCAAGATAAAGGGAAAACAAGAACTTCAGGTAATTATCTAAAGCATCAAACACTATAACAAAAAACAACAAGGATTTTTCAGAGATCTATGCCCAACTTTTGCTGCCATATTCCAAACATTAGCCACTTAACATTAAAATTGGCCTCAGATAAGTCTTAAAAAGGCCATGATCACCAAACCCAAACAGTGAAAATAAAAATAAATTGGGGGAAAAAGATAAGAATGTCAATCTCACAAAGAAACGGTCATATTCAATCCCAAAATCAAACAAAAATGTGACGGTATATTTCGCAAAAAAAAAAGTAAAGCAGACGTTCCCTTTAAAAACAAAACAAAAAAAATCCTGTATGGGAATATGTTTTTAAATTTAATACTTAAATTCAGTTAAGTAAATAAATCTTTTCTGGAAAATTTAAAATTTAAAAGGTCCCCTGAAGTGCCTTGAAACACGCAGCATTATTCTATGTGGTGATGTAATTTCAACTGAAACAGGAAGAGAGGGCGAGACATATCGAGCAGCCACGCCCCCTTTTTAAAATAGCCAATAGCGATTTGTTTATATCTGCTCGGGCCAGAGCCATTGAGCTCGGTAAAGCCACATTTGACAGCCACAGTCTAATAGATTACCCCCTAGATTCAATATGAAACTCGTAAAACAAAATAGTGGTCATAATCATGCTGAGGCTGTGTAGTTGTAAAAGTGTTTAATATATGCCGACTCGCGCATATGATCCGCTCCGTGTGATTGGGTCTCTGGACCGGCGCCAAAGTCCAGATCAGACTGTGTGCGCTGCCGCGGTTCGCGTGAAACCAGACCTCATTTGCACCAATCGAAAGCATAT